TGTGTGTGTGTGGCCAGCTCAGCCCACCAAGGGCGGGGCTGGCTGGCATGTGGTGCTGGGGGATTGAACCGCGGTCCCTGTGCTTTGCTAAGCTTAGCTTGTTCTAAGTAGATGCTTTAGACCACTGAGCCATCTCACCAGCCCTCAAACCTAATTTTCAGTACGTACTCTATAGAAAATCCTGCTAATGCATGTAATGATGTTATTACCTGCCTGCATATTAAGAAAAAAATCCTTAATGTGTTTCAGTGGCAATGGACAAGGTCATTGTGGTTAAAAGAAATGAACTACATTAGCCTGTGCATGATGGCCCACACCTGTAATCACAGCACTTGGGAATCTGAGGCAGGAAGAACTTGAGTTGAAGACCAGCCTGAACTATATAGTGAGACCCTGTCTCAAAAATAAACAAGCGGGCTGGTGAAATGGCTCAGTGGTCTAAAGGACCTACTTGGAACAAGCTTGGCAAAGCGCAGGGACTGCGGTTCAATCCCCCAGCATCACATGCCAGCCAGCCCCGCCCCCTGGTGGGCTGAGTTGGCCACACACACACACACACACAAATATATAAAAAATAAATAAATAAATAAATAAATCTTTAAAAATAAATAGCCAAACAAGCGTTGGGGCCAGGGAGATGGCTCAGTGGGATAAGCGCTTCCCTGGCAAGCACAAGGGCCTGAGTTCAATCCCCAGTTCCGGAAAAAAAAGAAAAAGAAAAAATAAACAAGAGCTTCCCTGGCAAGAGCAAGGGCCTGAGTTCAATCCCCGGTTCTGCCAAAAACAAACAAGAACTCTTATCAAGGCCAAGTAGAAAGCACGAAGTTACAAGGTTAACAGTGTCAGATACAGAATGTCTATAGTACGTGCAGGCATGTATAGAAAAATAGTGGTCTGGAAAGATATTGGTCAGAATAGGGATGTCTCTGCGGAAACGATGGGACTGGAATTTTGTACCTAAGCAAGGTTTAATAAGGTTTTCCTAGTGCCGCGAGCGCAGGTTCCATCCCAGCACATGTCACGTCAGCCCGGCCCCGGGTGCGCTGAGCTGAGCCGGCCACTTAGGCTGGAGTGGTGGCACATGCCTAGAATCCCAGCGCTGGGGAGGCTGAAGACAGGGAGAGCACGACGAGTCCGAGCTGCGTAGCGAGACTCTGTACCAAATATGATGATGATGATGATGATGATGATGATGATGATGATGATGCTTTTTTATGCTTTCTTTAAAAAAAAAAAAAAAGGGGGGGGGGCGGGAGAGAGGGCTCAGTGGTCTAAAGCACCTACTTGAAACAAGCTTGGCAAAGCACAGGGTACGCGGTTCGATCCCCAGCACCACATGCCAGCCAGACCCGCCCCCTGGTGGGCTGAGCTGGCCACACACACACACAATAAATAAATGTAATAAATAAAAATAAATAAATATTAAAAAAAGGGGCTGGTGAGATGGCTCAGTGGTCTAAAGCACCTACTTGAAACAAGCTTGGCAAAGCACAGGGTACGCGGTTCGATCCCCAGCACCACATGCCAGCCAGACCCGCCCCCTGGTGGGCTGAGCTGGCCACACACACACACACACACACATAAATAAATAAAATTAAAAAAATAATAATAAATATTAAAAAAAAAGGCCTGAATAAACTTGGCAAAATGAGAACTAGTACTCCCAATCGCTTTTTTTTTTTTCATTTTTTGTACTTGCTTTTATTTTTAAAACCTCTAGAAAAATATTTTATAACATAGATTAAAAATCACAAGACGATAGGGGCAAATATAAATGCTTCAGACGCTGACAATGAACATAAAAACATTGGGCGGCATGGCGAGAAGAGCCTTGGACAGCCAGCAGAGTACAGGATGGGTGAAGGTAGGAGGGAGCGCGATGCAAAGGGTAAGGAGAGGGGGAGAGCGGGCGAGGCAGAGGGGGAGAGCGGGACGGAGGGGGTCGCACAGAGGAGGGGGGCTGCGCGGAGGAAGAGGTCAGAGTCGCCCCGACGCAGGAGCTAACGGGGGGGGCAGGAGAGCGCAGAACCCGAGGGGTACAGTGAGAGTATGACCTCGGGACAGGCGAACGGGGGAACTACCGCAGAAGCCGCAGGCCTGGGAGCACGGGAACCCGGAAGGCCGCCCACGGAATACGCGCGCAGCGGGATGCACACTCACCTCAGCGCGGCAGAGCAGCGGACGCCCACACTAGACCTCACGGGCTGCCAATCAAGACGAAGCTGGAAGTGACGTCGCCGACCCCGCCCTGTGTGCCGGCCTTAGGGCCGCTCTGGAAAACGAGGGTTCGTCTCGTTATCCACCTGTTGGGTCTTGGTAGAGGAATCGCGTGGTGCTGGATGGCAAGACCCAAACGAGCCAGAGGCTTCAAAAACCAAGGTAGTGGCCAGGGTACTCCTAAGTCAATGGCTCACAGCTTATACTAATTGTTTTTGTGTGTAGTACCTGGGATTGAACTCAAATCCTTTGCAGTGCTATGCAACCAACCCCCTTTTGGAGACGGGATCACAGAATCTCACAGGCTAGACTTAAATTTGGGTCTCTAGAATGCTGGGATTACAGGGGTGCAACACCAGCCCCGGATAGTATGTCTCTGGTCAGCTCTTCCTCTAATAAGCCAAACGATCAGGATATAGAAAAGCAGCCTGCCCAATTCGGGGATTAGTTCATTGCCTCCACTCATAATTTTTCATATGGGTCTCAGCATCCACTCAACAGGGGTTTAAAGCTTCAAAGCAAACCCCGAATTGTCCTATAGATTCCTCTTTGCAGGAAAAGGAAACTAGCGGTAGGTAGTTTACAGCCAAAGCAATCACACCCTTTTAGATCCCTCGTCTTTCAGAAAATGAATCTACTTAACCTTAGGCAGCCCACGTGAGAGGTCCTTGCCCCACAAGTGATGCTGCTTTAGAAACCTGAGTAAGGGTTACACCAAGTAGCCAGGCACCAGTTGTAGCAGGGCCCTCCTACTGAAAGGTCTCTACCTACAGGCTGCACAGCTAACCCATCCCTAAGGACTAAGCAACCTGCCAACCATTCCAGCCCATGTGATATGCAGGTCCTGCTCCAATTGGTAGAAGAGAACTACCTGGTCTGATAAATTTATGCTTCTCAGTCTATGGTCAATAAACACAATATGGACAGGGCAAACAAGCCTATGCGCTCTACCCGGGGCCCCGATGTAGTTTCTAACCTGCTGCTTCTCAGGACACCCATCTACATAGTCAGGCCCAACCAAGATTTTACAAGTATTTTAAAAAAATCAGTACATTTAGGCTGAAAGTCCTCATTCCTTGTGGTCCTCTGTACTTTGGAGTAGGAAGTCACACACCTAATTCTTTGCCACTCAGCCTACGGCCCTATTTAGGTATACAGGGTCTGAGGTGATCTGGGACACATGGAAAAGAACTTCAAGCATATATCTTTGTCAAAAGTCAGCACTGCTATTGTACAGGAACCTTGCAACTGAACCCTATACAATAGCAAGAACTGCCCACACCAAGATCGAGAAACTGGTGGTAGGGCATGAGGCACAACCGAGGGGGAAAGGAGCCTAGAATCCTCCCCCGTATAAGTGATAACCTGTGACCATGGGATGCAGCCTGTGTAAAGTAGCTTTATCCTGCTCTTAGTACCCAGAGTGGTGGTATTAAAGCCAGGGGCAATGTTGGCAATGTTCTCCCTGTGGGCACCATGCCTGAGGGACCTTCTTAGAACCCGAGGGCAGCTTCACTCTGGTCTTCTTGGTTTCAGGGTTGTGGGATATGACTGTGGCATAGTTCCCACAACAGTGTCATTCCTCCCACAATCCAAGATCCCTGGGCAGAACAGACCCCATCATGTCAGCACCTGTGGATGAATACCCCAGCCAACAACTCCACAAATAACTGAAGTCGGGGATGCCCCATTGCCTGAAGAAAGTTGCCAACCAGTCCAAAGACAAATTTTATTGAGCCCCTCAGCTCTAGTTCTCTTTCTCCTGCACTGTCTTGGTTCCACGGAGTCGCCCAGTCCTGCGAGCAGCAATAAGACCCACTTTGCGCCCTGCAGGGGCATCTCTGCGGATGGTTGAGGGTTTGCCGATGTGCTGGTGGTTACCACCTCCA